TTAATGGCTAAATGAGGACATAAATATGTACTCATGAGCATGTTTTTCAGTAAAGTTTCTTTTATAAGACGTTCTCATTGATGACATGATTAAGACTACGTCCTATTGTTTAAAGTTTATGTTCATTAGACAATATACTTACTTTAGCTCTTTTTCTCTTAACACAAATTGGGTGTAAAGGGTTAAGATTCGGTGTTTTCTCTTTCTTATGGATAGATATGTTAATTTCAAAGTTTAAGAACCTATCCTTAAATTTTGCATAGGTATAGACGATACCTATCATAAATCATCTTTGTAAAACTTGTTTCTTCCTTAGAAGGGATTTTCATGCATATTATTTTAGAACAGTAGTTCATACACTTATATGTAGGTATCTTAAGGATGGTGTCTTACTAAGTTTTTGTAGGATTCTCCTACTGATTAGACACTTATGCCTTTTTTAATAGGTTTTGTCTAGGCTTAGACGATATTTCTCAAGGTACTTATTCTTGTGTCACTTCTAATCAGATGCTTATTTGTGAGTTTCTACATAGTGTTCAAATCTTCTCATGATTTGTTCTCATTTTTAGCTACTTTGTTTATACTTGTTTTCATATAGGGTTTCCTTGTCTAGAATTAATTAATCCTGGTGAGTTTTTTCTCAAACGATGTTCTTTAGTAAGCAATATTTCATTAAGTATATTTTTTGGACGGTCTAGTCTTTCCAAACGGTCTAGCCTTTCCAAACGATCTTGTCTTAACATTCTCACCTTTCCTCCTTAACTGTATGTTGGCAGCACTTGCTTGCCTTTCTTTTTCAAAACAATCCTTAGCAGTGTGCCTCTCCTTTTTGCACTTGAAACACTTATCTTGAGTCTAAGGGAAATCTTTTTATGCGCTTGAACCTCTTCACCTGAACATCTCTTTTGTTCTCTTTGGTGATGCGACTATTGCTGCTGTGAGGATCCAACCACCTTCTTTTGTTGTTGGTTTCGCACAAGACTCCTATGATACCTTACCCTTATTAGTAGACAAACTTTCTTTCTTGAGAAAAAAACCACTATATTCTCAAGTCTGCATTATATTAATTACCTCTGGAGACAAACCTCCACTACATACATCGAGCCACTGACCTCTTCATATATATCATCAAGTCTTTCACAAGCTTTATACACTCCAAGCTTCAAACATTGCTTTCGATTTGCACTTTATCATATTCTCAAACCTTGTTTCTTACACATGCACTAACATCTAACTTTACACCAACCTTACAAACTCATATTCTCTTGCCAACTCTTACTTTATTCGGAAAATTACCTCTCCAAAAAAATCCTTTTGAAGCTCATTTGACCCAAGGTCTCGCCTTTGAACTCCACATCTTCTCCAACCCTTAGAACTAGAACCCATTTTTCCTCACTCACTAATAGTCATGCAAAAAACTTCATATCTTTGAGGTAAAAGATTTCCTTATAGGCCTTCTCCAACTATTATAAAGGTAAGTAGATCAAGTTGGCCTTGGATTTGTGTTCCTCTACTAATATTAAACACTACACACAAACTGTAGAGACAAAAACATGTCTAGTGCAGTATCGAAAACACAACTAAAAAAATATTGTTTATCTCTCCCTCTAACAAACACAACTTTTCTATACATATTCTCTCAACATCTATTCACAACATAACCTACTTTCTACCAACTACCTTATGTTTATCTCTCTTCTTTTCCTAAACTTTCAGAATTAAGAAAAGGAAATTATCTTTGATATAGTCATGAGTGTCCAGCCTTATCACTTTATCAAAATTTTTATGTTCTTAATACTTCCAATTTCATAAACAAATATGCAATTTCAACTTAAACACTTATACACGCAAGACATGACAGACTCATAACCCTTAGGCCAAAGCATGAAGTGCTATTATCCCATTAATGTAACATCCTATTTTGCTAGCATAAAACTAATAAAATAAGATATTTTATAATCATATTCAAAACAAATAATCCAAAGTATAAAGTATATTAGTAAGTCTTCGTAGAGATACAACTATAAAAATATGACATTTATATAATCACACTAAACCAACAAAAGCCTTATACCAAAACTAACCATTAATGTTCCCAAAGCATCCTAGAACTTTAAGTGTCTCTATACTTGCATCTTCCTTTGTTCACATCGATCAAGTGATCAGTGCAAAAAGAAAGAGACAACCACAAACAAGACAAACAAACACAAAAGGGTAAGCTAATTTGCAAAAAGAACATTATATACTAATAAAGCATATTGCATTACAATACAATGCACTCCAAACAATCATATAAATATAAACCATATAATCAAAGACTCTTCTAAACTCAATTAATTGTTCGAATACGTGTCTTGATGTATGATTCTTGGTGGGTTTTGCACTTGTGGGGGTCTTTACTACTCTCCAGAGCCATTGCCAATTATAGTGGGATTCATCCTATCATATGTATGTATAGAAACATTACAAAAATGATCAGATCATATCATTATGCTCATTAATCAATATATACTCATATTGACAACTTAAACGACAAATTCAACCAAAAGCGAATTGCATGCAGGAACAAAACATATTTGATAGAGAGAAAGGGATCGAAAACTAACTTACATAAACAAAGAAACTAATGAATTGAAATTGAAAAGCTCACCACGAGAATCACTCCTATGATCTCATATGTTTAATTAGATGAATAAGGAATGAGAAAGAGAGGAAAGAAGTCAAATAACTTTAAAAAAAAAGTAATTATTATCAAAAAATAATATTAATTTAACTAATTAAAAAATAATTATTACAAACATGAAAAAAAAATTAATCACAACAAATATTAATAAAAAATCATTTATATCAATCAAAAAATAATCTTTTTAATATTAATTTAAAAACATTAACTAATGTCAAATAACAAATAATATTATTATGCAATAACAATAACAATCACTCTGTCGTATAATGTCGAAATAGATCCGTTTAATGCAATTTTTTTTATGTGCAGCCTCATTAACACTTTTATAATTAATTAATTTCATTTATAAAATGTCTACTCTATAACTTAACTAAATTATTGATTTTTATTTATATATAAACTAATTTTAGTTTATGGAAATCTTCTTTCTCATTTCTTTTTCTTTTTTCCTATATGTGTCTTTACTTTTTATAAAAGTATTTAATAAATTGTCAAAACACCTATTATCTTTTTCTATAAAATTATATTAGACTTGTTATGAAATTTTAATATTCCAATTAGGTTGAGATTCTAAAACCTCCACGGTTATTCATTATAAAATGAACATCCAAAAAAAAAAAAGTAAGAAACACCTGTTACTCTTTATATTTATACATCAAAATAAAAGACTATATTTCTTTTAATTTGGAAAATAGAAAAAACTTGATTAACTAAAAAGCTTGACATCAGAATCCTAAAATTGTTTAAATTTAATGAATAAAAAAAATTTAACTAGTTTTTTGTTATTTTCATGTGGATTTTTAATATAAGAATCAATTTTGAGCTTACAACTCAAGATAATGATATAATTTCCATGCTTTCTTGCTTCTTCCTTTCGTATTATGTGTTCATGGATTTTTTAGGTATAGTCTTTCATGCTTTCCTTGTTTTTCCTTATTTTTATGTGAAGAAGATTTAGTATATGCACTATTGGAAAAACGCAATTTACAAACGGCATTTTACTGAAGGCTTTGAAGCCCTCAGTATTGAGATAATTACCGAAGGCTTGTAAGCCGTCGGTATCGTCCTGGCTAATTTAAGTCCCAAATTGGGTTTTTCGTTCCCCAATCTGATTTTCTTCAGCTTCGTCGCTTTTGTCCATCTCATCCCTTTCTTCACACACTTCCCTCCCTTTCTTCACGCTCCGTCAGTTTCTCGGTTAGATACCGGTGGTGGTCCGTCACGGTGGTGAGTGGTGCGTTGATCGGTCTTCGTTGACGGTGCGTGGTGGTTTTGGGAGTCTTGGGCTAGGATTCGTCATGGGTTGGTTGCTTCGTTGAGGGCTGGTGGTGTGGAGGTTGAGGGACTTTGTTGGAGGGGCCGTTGTGGGCTTCTGTCGCTGTCGTGCTCGTGAAGCGGTATCTTGGTAGAGGTAAGTTCTACGGAATTTCATTCACATTGTCATGTTCATATTGCTGAAGCCTAGAGTGTTGCTGCCTTCATCTACTTTTCATTCACTTGTTAGTATATGATTGAAGGAACTTGGTTGAGGGACTTGGCTGGAGTGGCCGTTGTGGGGTTGCGTCGCTGTCGTGGTGTACAAAGGTTGCCATCGTCAAGGGCTATCTCGGTTGAGGTAAGTTGTGCGTTTAAAAATTCATTATGAGTTACAGTGTTCTTGAATCTGTTTGATGTTAGTGTATGATGTTGTTTGATTGAGAAAGATTGGTTTTTAATTGGAATGAGGGGCAAGGCATTGGCATGCCAATGAGAAGGTTTAAATAACCTTAACCGTAGTTTAAAGAAAATAAAAGCAAACGAGGTGGTGAAGATTGAGCAACAGTGCAAATTGTTGTAACTGTTGCGTTTGCTTCTAATGCCTGCAAGTGTGTGCTCTAAGTACGCAAAACTTCAACTATGAACCTTTCAACCTCTAACATCCCCTTGATTTGCTTCCAATCAACGTACACATACATAGCTTCTCCCTTGTGATTCTGCACAAGATTTTGTATATCAAAGTACCAATATGTCTCCCAATTGTGATGAACATGATCTCTAAGATGAGGATATCCTTGGTATAAGTATTTCAATGGATTGAAAACAGGAACTTCTCTCTCAACTTTATGCAGAAATCTGCTTCCATGTCTGTAATCTGCAGGATTGTACAGTGGAGACTATTTCTTTGACATAAAATTTGGTCGGAGACACTTCTCTATAACCTTAGCCTCCTCCTTCAACATTTCTCTCATCTCTTTAATATTTCTTCGAACTTTGTAAGATCGTGTCGACCCATTGGAATTGCCAGGGATAGGGACTTTTTTAGATGTATATGAAATTTTATTGCTCTCAAAGCAGAAATTTTTAGATCTTTTTGAGTCAAAACCTTTCCTTTTTTCAGCATCAGACAGACACATATATGCCTACAGAAATTATCCAATCAGCGTTTAATTAACTTCTTTACTCAAGAACACTGTGTGTCAGAAACTCACCTCAGAAATAAGTTTGAAAGCAATTTCAGCCTTTGGATGTTTGTTCTTGTCCGGATGAAGTTGCAGGGCTGAATCAAAAGCAACAGTTCTTGTTATATAAGAGAAAGAAACCATGAAAAAAAGAAGAAAAAAAAGGAGTTAAGCCTACCAAGTTTATGGTATTGCTGGCGGATGGTGAGCAACCCTACATTTTCTTCCACCTATGAGAACCCAATATGGAGAGATTAATTAACATGATCATATAAAAGAAGAGAGAAAAGTGGTAGTATAGTATGTATGAAATAATCACTCCAAGAATGCAATACCAATCTATGAAAGGTGGCTTAGCAGGGTTTGAGAGAAGTGTATGAATACAACCAAGTGACCTCAACAATATGAATAGCAGGGTTTAAGTTTTAGTTTTACAAAATTAGGTCAAAGGCTAAGTTTAGCAGAGACCTCAACAGCTAAAGCATAAGAACCGTGGTGAAAACTTAGAAACCCATATTAACAATATAGCTATGATGAAAATATATATAGGTCCCTACCCTTATATGAAACTTCTGGTTGTAGGTAGATGTCTATATTGCTTTTTTACTGTTTGATTAAATGAAAAATAAAAACCCTTGGGAGGGCTGTCGTTAGGTAATTACCGAGGGACGTCTATACCCACGTTAGGTAATTACCGAGGGCTGTCACCCTTCGGTAATTACCGAAGGCTTTTGGCCCTCGGTAATTACCGAAGGCTTTTGGCCCTCGGTAAATATTATCGACAAGGGATTTACCGAGGGCTCTTTGGTCGTCGATAAGCCATCTGTAAATACACTTTTTCGACGGCTTCTGACTGTTTCCGAGGGATTATGGCCTTCGGTAATGCCCTTCTTTTTTGTAGTGATATTAATATAAGTTGTTTTTATTCTCTTATGGAAAAAAAAATTTAAGTATTGATGATTTGATAAATTATGATAAATGCTTGAAAATGGTTTTATTGACACATAATATTCTATATTTTATTTTGTGGCCAATATTTCTCCAATCTTCCTATCAAAGCAAATTGGCATTTCTTTAGGTTTGAGAAGATCTTTAACATGGGAACTATCATTCCCTTAAATAAATATAACATGTCAATACGTATAGGAAAGTTATTTATTTAATAAAAATTATTTCTTATTGGAAGGTGTTTTTCGTAAGTCATTTTACTATTTTTTCTAGCATTTCTGGTACAACTCGGAAAGATTAAAAAGATACCAATTAGATTATGTCAAATATGGAAAAAGATAAAAGAAGGAAAATTAGCAATTTTCTAAACAGTGCAGCAAATTATATATCATACTCTAGAAATGTATATTGAAATTAGGCAATTTTGAAAATTTATTACTCAATCTTATAAAAAGTTTTAGATTGGATTGAATTAGATTTATATATATATATATATATATATATATATATATATATATATATATATATATATATTATATACCAAACTTACTCTTAGTCTGATTAATATAATTAGTTGACAAGTTTAATTATATAAGTTTAAATTTAATTATATAAAGTTTACACAGTCACACAAAAAGAAAACTATTACTCAATTTATTTGGATTATAATAAATACGCTATCATCATGCTATATAATTCATTGTTTCTCCATCACAAATCTTTTTTTCGATTGTGTGGTTGCTTAATAATTCATGTAGTTTCATCACAACCCAAGGTGTAAGCATGTTAGCCACATCTGCACATTTATGACTTCATCTTCAGATTATAACTTCTTCTCTGTCCTCCTTCACCAAAATAAAAATACACCTTTTTCAAAGCTTAGTTGACGATTTCGTTTCATTTAATACTTTCCTTTGCACAAAGTTTCATGTTATTTTATACAATATAACCAATAATGGTAGTATGGAACAAATGCAATGCCCCTTGTTTATGCATACAATAAGACAATAACGATCTTTTATAAAATTAAAATAAGCATTTGGTGTTGAAGAGAAAAATAATGTTAACATACTATTAATTTCTTTATTTTTTTTATAGACAACCCTAATTTAAGACTAATTTTTTTTCATTTTTTAATAAATAAATATTTATGTGAAAGTTAGATTAATGACAACTTAATCTTTAAAGTTCATTAAACATTAATAAAAAATTGGCTTGTCCAACTATAAAACAAAGTTATTAATAATAAATATTAAAATTAAATAGCATCTTGTCACCACTAATTTTGAGTAATTTAATATAAAATATAATTACTACCAATTGCATCCTAATTAAGTCATTATTAATCAAAAGTTCATTTCAAAATCTATAAATATAGATAAAAGGTAAAGATGCAGGTGATTTTTTTAATACAACCATTAATACTTGAGCAGTCAAATATTTATAATTCCAAAATCTATAAAAATAGGTAGAAGGTAAAAATATAGGTGATTGTATTTAATACATCATTAATATTTCAGCAGCCAAATCTTTATTAACTTTGCCGTTTGAGTACCTTATGCTATTAGTAACCTCCTAGCTTGACAGACGGAGGAGCAACATATTCAAACGATAATTCAAAGACTCGAAGTTGAACACTGCACACATACTCTTAACCTCAAACCCCACACTTGAAATAATTCCTATTCTTATCTTTTTTCCGCCTTCATCTCCTTCATCCATACGTATCGTAATTCCTCTCGTTCATACTCATCTCTTTCATCCAATTCATCACCTTCATTCATATTTGTATCTTTATCCACATTTATCTTTTTTATCTACACTTATCTTTTTCATCCATAGAAAAATTATATTTCTTTTATATTTTATTTTGTTAAAGATGGAAACTTAGGATAACTATTTTTTCTAATTACAATCATTAATTGATTGTTCCAAATACTTATATTAAATTTTTATATTAAATTGACAAAATCAAGACAAATTAAATTAATATTAAAAATAATCAATGCTAAATTAAATAATTTTTTAAATAAAAATACATTTATATTGACTTGAACGATAGTAAATTATTATAATTAAAACTTAATTTAAAAAGATTATTACCGATTTTTAAAAGTTTAAGATAATGAATTAACATATATCATTTTAGAATAAAGTACACCTTCCATGCAAATCTGATACTACTTATTATAATTAGCATTTTACTCATGAATTTCGAGTTTTGGTCAAGCTTAAATGTTTCTTTTCTGGCAGTGTCTTCAATTAAGTATCTCATATTTTTATTTTTATTATTTCTCTTCTTTATGCTAAAACCACATTGTGAGATTTTTCACACAAATTACCACCCAATTTGAAAAAAAAAAAAGAGTAACTTTAAATTTGTTTGGATCAATTGGCAAGTTATATTTTACGATATCAATTTATGTAAATTAATGTTGTGTTTTATTCATTTTTAGTTTATTAAGGTAAACCGAGATGTTATATACGACTTTAATTATTCACAAAAAGAAAAAAATAACTGCTAAAGTCTTTTTCTGCAGACTTCCTCATTTAAAAAAATATAATAAGAAGAACACATAAAGAGTGACAGTGATATAATTACGAGATATAGCAATTTTAGTAGTGTAAAGATGTTATAGAATTTTGTGTAAAGAATTCTTGCAACCTGAATACTTCATTAAAGTATATGTTTTTTTTTGTCAAATTTATTGGAGGACTTTGTGCTTATATATAGAGTTCCATCATAGAAAATTGATTCCCATTAATGTGAATATATCGATAGTGATTTCTTTTCCATTAATATGTCTGTTAATATAAGTTTGCTACATATACTAGTGGAAATGAGATAAAATATATTAAGGAGAGTAATGACGGAAATAATGATTGAAAGTTCAGATTTAAGAAATTAAAATATCCAATATTTCTTGCACGACCCAAATGAATCACATGAATCATTACTATACTAAATTCTTTAATAAAATAATTATTGTGACCAATTTTAATAAAAGCAACCATTTATACAAGAGGTAAAAATTAAGGTTTTAATGTATTAATTAAAAATATAATTTTTTTCATATATTATTATCTTCTTCCATGATATTTTGGATCAAAAGATAATTTTATTTAAATTCATCAATAATACTTTCACTAGTTCAACAATGATAAAGTGTTATTACTAATGTAACAATCACAATCACATACAATTTGAGCATTTTGTACTCAATCAAAACCGTGTAGAGCAGACTTTCCATTTCAATCATATATACCACGTTCAAGCCAAATGGTAACATATTCAACATACAATTAATACAATCTCGTCACAATTATCGAAATATCCTACTCAAATTCATGCTTCAATCAAAGTTTTCATCCACAGTTCAAATTAAGCCAACATGCAAAACTTAAAAATCTAAAATATTCAAGGGTTAAATATGTTTTTAGTTCATCAATTATCAAGCGATTTTGTTTTTCGTTTCTATTTCAAACTTTGTACGTTTTAATCCCTCTCCTTAAGGAAATCATAATTTTTGGTCCTCAAAAACTAACGCCGTTAAATTTAATATCACGTGGCTAACGGTATGCCACACATGATACCAGCTTTCACAGTAATCTTGTGCCACGTTCACGGTGTGCCACTATTCACCACCCTATTCTCCTTCTCTCCTCTAGTTGGCTTAATTTGAACTGTGCACAATAAACTCTCTTTCTTCTTTTTATGTGAGAAACCAATCTTGAACTCATTCTCAACTTTACTTGCATTGAGCTTAACCTTTCTTTTTCTTTGTTTTCTTCTCTTTTACTTTTTCTTTTGCTTTTGCTTTTGCTCAATGCTCTTTAATGAATTTCACAAAGTTCTTTCCGGTTTCTCACAACCCCAAACTTGAACCATTCTCCATTACCACATACACATACTACTCAACTCAAGGTAAGGATTTCAACATCGGTTCTTTTCAATGTTCAAATTTAGGCTCAAGGTTCAAAGGTTAGAGAAAACATTTCTCTTTGTTGGGTTCACCTATCTGCATTGGCTCTAAGGGAGAAGAAAACATGGCCTTGATCATTTGTAACAAGCATGCAAGTGGTTCAATCATAGAAACTTAGGCAAATCAATCATGCTTCCAAAGCAATAGCATTCAATCAATCAAAAATTTTGGAGCCCAATCTATCACAGGTTAACTCAAGTTCCACAGTTTAATAACATCTTGCCCAACAAATTAATCACAATTAACATCATGCATCAATTTCTAACAATCATGAGCAACCACCTGTATATAAGACTAGA